ACACTGTTTATAGGAGTCCCAACAAACCTGCTGCAGTTAGAGATCAAAGAGAAGGTTGCAGGTGTTAATATCAGAGGAAAAAATAATTTCTCTCTTTAGCAGTGTCACTTACTGTAACGAATATATATGCTATAAAGCATGCTATATCCTATTAAAGATATTTTAGATACTAAATTAAGAGCAGATTAGAGTTTAAGTAGTAAAAATAAACATTAAGTGCTTCCTCTATCTCAGTCTCTCAAACTAAGCTTCAATTGCTTCTTAGGTTCAGGAAGTTTCTAAAAATATATAGTTAACCATCCTAAATAATCATATTTTCTCTTGCAGTTCCTTACTGATGCTTCCAAAAATCCCACATCCTCCATGGAAGAAGATGACTCCTCTCCGTTTGCTTGCAGATGCTGCTCTTGGGAGGTAAATCCTCACTGGCACCTCATCAAAATGCAGATCCTTTATGAAGAGCTTTGAATCCCTGCATGCTGGCAGTCCCTCAGAAAGCAGCCTCAGGAGTTGGTGCTCCTCAGAGATACCCAAAATTTCTAAGCTCTTTGCCTAGATATAACAGGAAAAATTAGAAATTAATGTAGGGAATTCAAGTCTTCACACTCTAAAAAAGCCACAAGGTACCTTTTTCTATACTACATTTAGGACAATTCTGTTGGTTATTTACTGCTTTATAGGATTACCACAAATGACTCTAGTAGCTTTGTGATTTCAGCCATGAAGGTGAAAATGTACATCTTCATCATCTGGGGTACTGCTCTTTCTGGAAGAATGCTGTAATACTTGTTCCATGAAATATACTGTACAAATACCTTCTGATTTCTGTTATCTGGATTTACCACAAGTAACATGAGGCATTTGCTTAGATATGGAAGATCAGAATCATGAGGCCTGAGGCTACTTTTCTAATCACTGAAGAGAAAGAGGCATTTCTGGAGGATGGTTCTAATTTTAGAGGTGTTAAACTGTGCTCTGGAGATGTTTGTTCATCTCCAATGATTTTAAAATCAGGCTGTGTACTTCAGATGCCTCAGGTTTTTATTTAAGGTTAGTTGAGACAAAAGTGTCCCTAGCAGGACAGCATTTGTATACAGGGAGAAAAAGACTCATGGCAGCTTGTGTAAAGGCAGCTTTCTGGTCATGGGCCATCTCTGTGCCACAGGGTCAGTGAGAACAAGCTTTAAGAAAATCATTAGTGCCTATAACCAACAATGAAGGGCTGAACTGGTGAAAACGGTTCTGAACCTTATCTCCTTCTCCATCAGTGGAACTGTTGCCCTTATCAAGATCTCACAGGTGTTCAGGAAGTAGCTCTGCAGTCGGTTTCTTACATCTGATCAGGGAGAGCAAATGTTCTGAAGATGGAGGTTTGTTAAATGTGTCGAAACATTTTCTTATCCAAGGCCAGTCAACTGCTGATAATTACAACAGCCTGAAGGTCACACTGGAATCCTTCTTTTTGAACACATGTTATAACAGATGCATTTCCTGCTAGGGGCAACATTTCTTTTCCCATTAAATGGTGACTTAATTACCCCTACAGACTATTATAATTCATTCTTCTGGAATGATGATAATCATCACGAGCAATTTGCAAATTGTCTTGTTCTCTTCTGAGCACCAGCAGCCTGTGTACTCTGCTGTATCAATGCCTTCTAAACTAATGACCAGCTGTGCTTTTGTAAATTGTTCCTTCCAGCCTTCTCTATCTGGCCTTGAATTTAGGTCTGCTCTGTCTGTCTCGGAGGCAATTCAAATACTGGCCTCAAATAGCAATTTGGCTGTGAAAGAATGCCAGAGTAAGACAGAGGAGCAGAACTTTCTTGGGTGCATGTTCCCAGCTGGTGTGCCCAGATCACTTGCATGAATCCAAAGCTCACGTAGTTCACGGGTGCTGCAACACCAGCTCCTTGGCAAGGCCCTTCTCAAACAAGACAGGTTCCTTCTGCCTAATAATCTAGACCAGGCTGCAATAAACAGGTTGGGTGAGGAGTAAGAAAAGAGAGCTCTATCAGCCCTGGAAGAGAGAGCAAGTCTTTTAGAAACAAAGATGGGAACCCAGAGGTGATCTGGGGTTTTTTGTAATGCTCTGTCCAGCAGTGCTTGGAGCTTTTGAGGTCCCAGTGCCCAAAGACAAATGGATTTGGTATCATGGCAAATGGGAAAATGAATATAAGAGCCAAGGCAATCAAGAAGTGATGGAGTCAATATAATCTTCCCCAAAGAGCAATTTTGAAAAATTCTTGTGACTTGTAAGTCAATCTTTTTGTCAATTATGATTTTGAAATGGTTGAACTTGGCAGAATTACCTTCCAATGTTTATTTAATCTCATCTGTACTAACATCTCTGAGTTTTTACTGAGATCACAGATAATAATATATATGATAAACTTGGTATCAGAGCATTCTATCTAAGTATCCTCTTTCCTTTCCTTATCTTAGGAGCTCCTGATGTCACAGAGGCATCTTCAAATTCGAGGAAAACACTGTCATGAAGGAGAATGGGGAATTTGGTATGTATTCTATTGAAAGACTTCCTGATGAATAATTTCAAAATACTTCAAAAGCAATAACAATACACTCAAAAAATGAGAGGTATGACTATTCCCAGACACATGGGATCAGTGTTAGTAAGTGAAATATATTGTATCAGCCAGGTTCTAAAATATATGTATGTGTAAGAAAGCAAGGACCCAGACCAGCATATCATCACACCTTTTTTTGTGAAGTAGGGTCTTTGAAAAACTGTTTGCTGGAACACCTGAATTCTGGCACAAACTGGCTTTTATGTGGAAGATCATATGGGGACCAGATTTTTGCTGAAAAAAAATATTAAATCACATACTAGAAAAAAAAAAAACACCTCAATTTGAGCTTCATGGGCTGTTAAGACTACATTAGACAGTCTTTCCATCAGTCACTTTGAAGTTTTATCTTTGCCAGCTAAAATAATTATCATCAAAACTTTATATCACAGTGCACTCTACTATATGCACAGTTACTCTAAATGCAGATCTGGATGTACAGATGAAAACAAAAGCTGGGATGTGAGCTCAGAGGCTTCCTCTCACCTCTTCCACTTGGGGCTGTCACTGAATTCTTTATGACAGAGTATGTGGATAGATGCAGCAGGAGCATTGGATGTATGACACCTAACAGGTGTCAGGTCCAGCTGACCCTGCTTTGGCCAGGAGGTTAGCTTAGATGATCTCTGGAGGTGCCATCCCCATCTACATGATTCCATGATATTTAACTAAGATACAGAAACTCAGACACTGCAGAAATAAGAGCAGAATCAGAGATAAGAAAATTCCTGCAGATAGTTCACCATTTAGGAATTACCTTAAATATCTCAAAGTACATTAAGATAAGATGCATTAAGTTTTCGTTATTATGGTTCATGTAAATTATATCCACAGCCCTCCTATAACCCCCAGGATCAATAATTTAATTACAGAAAGCAATCAAATGCTTATCTCAGTATTTAAAATACCTCACCTCATACCACCTGCTCTTATATCAGGTAATAAGATACCAGATGAAACTTTGGCCTTTATATCTGTGTTACTGTGTGATTCCCATTGTAATATTTAGATGCATATCTTTAAACCTGTACTCAATCTTTTCCTTTCCTGAAAATCACAGTATCACAGAGCCTGATAAACTCACCAGAATCTGCACCAGGGTGTATATGAATTGATACACACGGAGCTTTGCTGGCTGGTCAGCATCAGGAAGAATCTCTGCCTTGAAGGAATCATGATATGTTGCAATTAAAACCAGTAATAAAAAAGCAATCAGAATTCCTGCTGTTAATGACAAAGCATACAAGGGTTCCATTTTCCTTTGGTGGGAATCGTTTAACAGAGAGCTGTTTGATATGACTCCATCAGTATTTATATCCTCCAGCCTGACTCCACAGAGAAGTCATTTGCCTATCAAAGTTCCTCCTCCCTCCCCTGCAGATGGGGCTGCCAAACATCCGGCGATTAGGGCTCCATTTAGCACAGTCAAAGTAAAAGACTCACATCCAGGAAGAGTCATTATTTTGTAGATTCCAAAATTGCAAATTAACTTTATTTTTTTTATCTCATTTAATTGTATTCTGCTTAATGGGCCTGAAAAGCTATGTGTGGTTTTTGCAAGTGTACTAGTTAGTGTTAGGAGAAACTCCCTCTGCTTAAGAGCCCAGGGAAGACTGGCAGTGCTGAACTCCAGCCTCCATCTGCAGGAACTGGGATAGTTCTTTTGCTCTTGGAGCAGGACTGAAGTATGAGCCTAAGGCTTTTCATTTGGTGGTCATTTTGTTTTCCCCTGTTATATTGCTGAGGCGCCAGCTGGCCAGAACAGTTGGAACACACATTCTGAAGTACATCTAAAGGAATTTTGCTCTTGGAGATTCATATGGAGCTATCAGTTATTTGGAAGCTCTCTACCTGGGCGTGCAGCAAGTCTCTGGGCTCACAAATGGTCCAGTAATGTGAGAGGCAGACTTCCCCTTGACTTGAAGAACTTTGGCACTGACCCTTTACTCTGATTCATTCTAAAGAAAGGATTTTGATGTTTCTACTTCGTAGTTTGCTGGTGTTTTTGCCAAGACAACTTTACATTATCCTTTGCTGTAATTTAGGCTGTGATTAGACCATATGGCCAACCAAATGTTTGTACCAATGGAGGTGATGGTAGCAAAGGAATGAATGACCAGATGCAGCTCCATGTGGTTCTGTCCACCACGTGACTGGACAAAACTTGTTTGGGTAAAGGCAAAACCCGAATAAACATCAGCTCAGCTTGACATAATCAGTACAACCTATGCTTATCCCCTGAACACTCTGAAATATTTCTTTATCCCAACTAATCTCCCAGATATTCCATTTTAAAACCCATATAAAAGCTTGCAGTTGTGGTCACAGAAGAGAAGGACTCCTCTCTTTGAGCCATAAGATTCTGGCTTTGCTTAACAAACCTGTAGTGGTGATTCCCTTGGAAAGTGGAGTCTTGGCTAAAAGGTGAGTCCTTTCTGTCCTTTCTAGCTTTTCTCATACCCTTAAAAGAGGCAGATGAAATACATTTGCTTAGAAAAAACCCATTTATGTAAAACATGCATTACATAAAGGAGTGAGAAACTCTAATGTGAATTAGTCAATAGGGTAAACAAGTACTTAGCTGTGTGGAATGAGAGTAAACAGTATGAGCTGTGGGAGCTGACTCAGATGACCAGATGATAAGAAGAGGACCAGATGATGCGTGACCAAACTGGATTCTTAAGAGAATAGGTGTAATGATTAACTTCAGTCGAAGTCAGCAAGGACAACTGATTGAATTATGTGATTTGAAAAGGTATTAAGGGTAAGAAAACCATGTCATTTATAATATGGATCTCTTAGCTTAACTCAGCAGGCCTGGAACTTGTGAACATAGCAGGCATCTTTCCAATACTGACTCAAATTATTTGACTAGGATGGGGAATAACTGATCTCTTCTATCACCTTGAGGTACAGGACACTTAACTGAGCCCCTCCCAAATTCTGCTCTGTCCAGACCTGTGGGCAGACTTTAACTTGAATGATTTTAAAAAAAGAAAAAAACAAACCAACATAAATGAAAGCAAAAATTAAGGCTACTTTTATATTCTGAGAAGGAATACCTAGGATGGGTTTTAATGAATTTTACTAATCCATCCTAAAATTAATAGGTTTTAAGTTCTGAATGGCCCCCCATAAACATACTTTTAAAATGACAAGTGGAAGTTCAGAGACATTTCTTCTTTATTCATTTTTAATTCTTTTTTGTGATAGATTTAAACGCCCCACTGAAACTACCATCTGAGAAGATCATGGCATACTCATAATTTCCCTTCAGAAAAGCTGGATGTCAAAATACCAATTACCTTCTGCCAAATCCCTTAGGAGCTCCCAATATACCTGTGTTTTTCCCATGACATCAAGACAGCAACCAAGCATCTAATGAGAGATTGGAGTGGAGGTAGGAGTCCTGTGAAGAGGGGTTCTTGAACTTTGGGCTTGGTTGGTTGGTTGGTTTACGAGAATTTTATTTTTTTTTTTAATTTTGGACAAAGTTTTATTGGAAGACAGGGATGAGTGTTCTGAAAAAGCATCTTTGTTGATTATTTTACATGTCAGCTTCTAGGAATCACCTGTATTTATGCATGCTACCATTCTAACAGATCTTTCTTCCTCCAGAGAATCAGCTGATCCTCTCTGCCCCACGCCAGTGTGCATACCAGGGAAGATAAAATACCTGTTAAAAAGGCAACACTTCCCAGAAATTAGTTAAAGCCCCACATCAATTCAGACACTTAAAGCTGATCCATCGTAGCCTTACGAACAAAAAAGGTTGCCTTTGACAACAACAGCACTCCCTTCCTAACACTCCTCCTTCTTTTTGGCTTCCTTGCTGGAATCGTCAAGTTGGAAGAAGCTTATGATAGTTAGAGGACTTGAATTATTTCAGTTCTCAATGTACTAGCGAACCACTAGCTCTGAAAAGAAATTATAGCTTCATGTAATGAATTCCTTTAAGAAGATATTGTTAGAAAGGATTCAGGGAACATTTTATCTAGAGATTTTTTTTCCCTAAGCTAGTTTACAAGCTTCTGGTGCAAACCTTGCAGGCATTACTCTACTGTTCTGTGCTTGTCAAAATCCGTGTCACGCCGGGTTAGTAGGATTTCAGTTGAGACTCTTGAAACAATACTCTAATTTTGAGGGCCTTAAGGACTTAATTCTTCTGCCTCCCTGGTTCCTTGTGTGTCTTAAAAGTTTTGTTAGGACTGAGGAATTAAGCAGAAGGACTGGCAAATATTGATTGGTGTCAAAGTGAGGTAAATGTACAAAAGATGAGTCAGTCGGTACACAATATAGTCACTCCATTCCTGCCTACATGGGGGATCCTTATTACTTGAGGAAATCCCACGTTGTTGGTGTTGCCTGAATTCCAGGTAGCACCCACATGCACTTTGAAAACACCGTGCTTCTGCTTGTAAAGACAATTATTTTTACATATACTCTATCTAGAAAGGGATGTTGTCCAGAATTCAGAATTACTCAGTAGGACATTTGTTGTATATTTACTGGTGATACTGATTTGCTGTGAGACCTTGGGAAAGCGGTAAGACATCCAAATGTAGCTTTTGCCCAAGGCTGGACACAGCCTGTTTTCTGTCAAGGCTGGAAGTTAAACAGAAACCTGGTGCCTTTGAGCTTAGTCCATGGCAAAACTCCACTTACAAAGGCAACAGTATCAGACTCTTAATACTTAATAGCATATCGAAGGACAGTGTGAAATCATAGAACCACTGGGAATCATTTCAAACGGAAAATGTGAACGCCAGGGAAGAATGGAATCAAGAAGCACAAAAATGTAGCTCTTGATTTATCCAAATCTGACAGCAGTACTTCACGTAACAAAAACCAGATCAGCTTGGCAAAGGGTTTCCTTTTTTAAAGGAGGTTTAGTTTTAATCTGTGATCATGATAGATTGTCCATGGTCAAGAACCCTGCGCTGATGTGAAGAGCTGGTATTACTTGACACCCTGGTAACACAGACTTTCCATTGTGAAGTGTCTGCTGTTCTGCATTCCCAGTTTTTTCACATCTGCTTACCAATGTACTGTATATATTTGGGTGAGGTTATTTTAAGCTGAAAACACAGAATTGTTAGCCCAAATAGCTTTCTGTTATTCTTTGACCATGCTTTTAATTTCCAGCTCCTTTCAAAAGTTCTTGCAGTTTAGTAACTTCATTTACACAGACAGACTTCCAGGTTTTCTAGGACCTTGGCTGCAAAGGGTCTGAACAAATTCTGTTATTCCTTGAGCATGCTTTTCATTTCCAGCTCCTTTTCCTTTCAAAAGTTCTTGCAGTTTAGTGACTTCATTTACACAGACAGACTTCCAGGTTTTCTAGGACCTTGGCTGCAAAGGGTCTGAACAAATTTAGACTTACGCCAACATATATAAAGTGCAACATCTAAATCTAAGCATTCAGACACTCTGCCTGAGCCTCTTCATAGATCCATGTAACAGAAACTGGACATTTGTTATGCAAATGATACATACAGGGATTGTATCAGCTTGTTTTGGAGGTAAATGTTGCCTTTCACTGCTGTTTTTTCCTTCAAGACAGGGCAGGTAAATAGGTTTCTATGAATTTTATTGAGAGTATGAGCAAATCTCTACTAGCCACAATCCAAACACTGAGTTTTAGTCACAGTAGGGCTTCCTAACCTACCTTTACATTAGTCAGCCTTGATATGAACAACAGGTTCCATTTTAAGCTGGACTGTTACAGGTAGGAACTATTGTGGTTAAATGTTCAGAAAACATAAATACATTTTTTGAGTTATGGTCCCAGGAATGGGTCACTGAGGGAGGATCTAAATTTAAAACAGTTAAAGCCAAAGAGGTGTGTGAAACTGTATTAAAGCCATCTGCCATCTTCCTTTACACTTCTGCTGGGAAGTGCAAACCCACAAATCCAAATGGTTGCCACTGAGACACAGTACGTTACTACCTTGTGGCTCTTGTTGCAAACTGGAATAAAACATAGTTGGAAGTGACATGAAAATGTCTTAAACCAAGTAGTTGGGGTTTTTGGCAAGTTAGACTTTGTTGTGATTGTCTGTATAGGAAATGGTTCAGTACTGTGCAGCATTCAAAGTGCACCCAAGTGATAGCATTAGTAACTGATGCAATTTTACCCAATTAACAGCCCTGCTTACTGGCTGCTCCCATGCACCAGAAGGGATTCACTCTGGGACAGCCCCTAACGGACACTTAGGAACATCTGCTCTGCTGACAGATCCCTGTTACCATCCA